AATACTCTGCAGACTGGTGGCCACAACATCAATGATGACCAAGTACCTGAATCAGATGTCCCATCACCCTCAGGCTAAGAAAGCCAAGCACCGAAAACTAAAAAGAAAGAAGACTGAAGGAGGAGAAAAGGAGGCAGAGTATGCTAAACACATCCATAAGCAAATATAACTCAGTCCACTAGGGAGACTACACAAGAAATCTACTGAGGGAAATCATGGAAGGACAAAAGTGATTCTTTGAGATGCTTTGTAATTTTTTGGCTAAATTCTTTACTGAAACTTTCCAACAAAGTCTCTACTGAAAAGTTATTTCTATTCAGCTAAAACAGCATCCATGCTTACTAAAAAGTACGAGGGGAAAGACCATATACAACCACCGCTTCATGTTTAAGTGTTCTGTTCTTTTTAATGTGTTAGATTGCTAATCAGTAAGCAAACTGTAGAATAGAATCTTGATTTAGTGTTTCAATAAATCTCTGATTTAAGCAATTTTTGTGAATTCTCTTAGTTTCCTGAGAAAATTTTATGGCCACGTGCAGATGTTTAATTTCCCATCTCAAATTGTTAAAATAGTATGGAAATAATAAGGAACAGATTAATTTCTAAGTATAAATGTTCCCCTGTTCAGTATAATAAATAAAGAATTATCAACACTTTTTTTAAAATTTCAAACTTCTGTTGATAAGACACATAAGTTTTAAAAATATTTCACTTTTGTTGATCAGTCACCTCATTTCTTAAAGTATGGTTTCTATACTAAAAAAAACAAAAAAACAAAAAACTGAGAGACTGAGACGGACAGATTTTCTTAACATATAAAAGAATCCCAGAAAAACATGACAGATTTATAATATACCTCCCATCAATAAAAGGAAAAAAAAACTTTTAAAAAAATCCTTTGTAAGTAACAGATAATGCTATAGTCTTAACAAATAACAGAAGGGGATAAGTTCTGCCCTGTGTTATTGTAGATTATTAAAAATTTACTTATGGTTCCACTTTCCAGAATCCCTTACTTTTACTCTTCCTTAACACAACATTACTCCCACATTTCCATGAATATTTGTTCCATACCTTCAGAGCTCTGAAAAATCAACTAATTCTATATATGTGTGTGTATATATATATGTATTTCTTTTAATATAGGACCTTTGAACAATTAAAAAGTCTATAAACCTTGAAAACCCAAAGAAATTGATCTCTAATGATCAAATTTTCAGTAGCATGGAGGAGTCTCTGCGGTAGGGAGTCCTCAACCCTGTAAACCTCTCCAGGTGACCTCTACTCTGATCATTAGAGCAAGAAATGGAAGTGGTTTATATTCTTGTTAAGTCTTAATTAAACAAATGCTTAACTTTATGTTGACTAGTTAGCATTTCTGACACTCCACAGCTACATTACCATGAATCCTTACAATTCCATCACTCATCTGGAAACAGAACACTAGTTTAGAGGATCATAGTTTTTTATCTTCATTACTAGGAAATGGTAGGTCTAACTCCTCCAAGACTGTAAGGACCCAAATTAAACAGATGGACATTAGGGGGAAGGAAATTGAAATTGGGCAGGGAGGGCACACAGGAGTCCTCAGGGCAGAGTGTGCTATGTGAGGCAGACTGCAGCCTTCTCCTCAGGGCCCTGCAGGCCCTCCAAGCTCAGGATCAGCTGGTGAGCTGGGGGGTCCAGGTACAGGCTGAGGGCTGTGTCCAGCAGAGCTCCAGAGCCCTCCCCAAGGCACCCTCTGGCCAGGCTCAGGCCTTGAAGCAGCTTCTGACCCATCCCTATTCCTCCAACCTAAGAGTGGTGGTCTCCACAGGTCGTAGTCCATGGGACCTGGCCCTCATTTGGGCAGACTGAGGGCCAGCTGGTCCTAGGCACCTGGCTCCCACAGTGATGACAGCTGGGCGGGATCTGGGGCCCTGGCCCTGAGGGTGCCACCCGCTGAGATCTGACTCCTCAGCTGGACCTGAGCACTGGCAGGAGGACCCAGCCGGGCTGCTGGATGAACGCTCCTGGGTAGGGTTACTGGCCCATGCAGGGACCCCTCCTCTTAGCCAAGCTAACTTTTGACCTTGGAGGGCAAAAGTTGAGGGCTGGGACCTTGCCCTTTCTTGTAGAATAGAGAATAACATTTGCTTTGGTAGAGTTTTACCTAGCCGTGACCTGACCTCAAGAACAAAAGATCTGACACCAAGAAGTCTGCAACAACTAACCACGCCCCCTCCACCTTTCCTATAAAAGGGCTTTGCTGAGAGCTTTCAGGGAGCTCCTGGGTTTTTTAAGGCATGAGCCACCCATCTACTTACATGGCCCTGCAATAAACCTTTCCCTGCTCCAGACTCACATTTTGGCATTGTTTGGTCTCACTGCATGTCGAGCCCATGGACTTCCGCTCAGTGACAAAAACCAATGAAACTCTATGCTCATAAGCCCCAAACTTTCAGAAAAGTTACAGCAAAGTTTGTTCCTGGATTGTATTTTCTTAAATACCATGGGTCATTCTTCAAAATTGGATTTTAAATTATGTAATATGAATTTTGGTAGATCGCCAGTCCAGGTTTGAGACATGAGACAGGGTGCTCAGGGCTGGTGCACTAGGATGACCCTGAGGGATGGGATGGGGAGGGAGGTGGGGGGGGGGTGCAGGATGGGGGGAACGCATGTAAATCTATGGCTGATCCATGTCAATGTATGGCAAAAGCCACTATAATATTGTAAAGTATTTAGCCTCCAACTAAAGGATGGGGAACACATGTACACCCATGGCTGATTCATGTCAATGTATGGCAAAAACCACTACAATATTGTAAAGTAATTAGCCTCCAAATAAAATAAATTAATTTTTTAAAAATAAATAAAAATTATATAATGTGAATTTTGGGCTTCCCGGGTGGTGCTAGTGATAAAGAACCCACCTGCCAATTCAGAAGACATAAGAGACATGGGTTCAATCCCTGGGTCAGGAAGATCCCCTGGAGGAAGTCATGGCAACCCACTCCAGTATTCTTGCCTGGAGAACTGCAATGACAGAGGAGCCTGGCAGTTACAGTCCACAGGGTGGCAAAGAGTTGGAGATAAGTGAAGCGACTTAACATGCATGAATGTGAATTTCACCTAGAACTAATTATTCATGAGGAGGTCAATTAAATTTTTTGCTATTTTCTTTTTGCTTATGCATCTGATCATAAAATTGAAGGTAACTGACAGAAATATGGCCCCTCAAAAATATTTAGTGCAAGTGGACTAAATTATTATTAAATACCAAATAATCTACAAAGTATAACTCATCTTTTTCTTCCCAAATATGCTACCTTCCCTCAATTTCCTTACTTCTATTAATCCTCCCAGTTCCCTTTTTATTTTACTGATAAGCAACTCCTTAAGGCTGCCATATGAATCTTCCTAAAGATCACTTTAATCCTCTTCCTCTTCTACATAAAATCTTCCAAAGGCTCCCAACGGCTACAAAAATGAAATGTAAACACCTTAGCCTGACATTTGGAGGTATAATCTGACTGGAACAATAGCAGCGTCACACTTCAAGTGTGATCACCCAACAGGCACTGTGCTGAGACATGGTTTATAGCATCTCATCTCAATCTCACAACTCCCCCAAGAGATAAGGACTATTATGAGCCCCCTTTTCTGGAAATTAAGACTGAAGTATAAAGAATTTAAGTATCTTGCCCAAGGTCACATAGGTTTCAAGGAGAGACACCAGTATTTCAACTCAAGCAATTTGATTCAAGAGCCCATGTACTTACTTTTCTTTTATTAACCTGCCTGTGCTGTAGCCTGCTTATGTAAATTATATTGACTTGCTCTTCCAGTAAGGCAATCTCATCACTGTTTCCCCAACATATCACTTCCAGTCATAAGGTTTTGCTCACACCCTTTCTCCTTAGTCTGTGTATACAAATCCCATCATTTCTTCAAGGCCCATCTCAACTCCAACATACTCTGACTTCATGTTCTCTGACCACCCCACAGCATGACCCACCTGCTCTGCCAATTTTAACTCTTAATTATAGTCTTTCTGATATTGTTTTTTAACTGTAGGATGCATCTATAATTAATCGCCCCTCAGATAACAAATGTCCAGAGGGCAGGAACAATCTATGTACCAAAACATAGCTATGTACCACAACAATGCTCTGCTTGTAATCCTAGAAACACAAATGCAGAGAACTATACAAAATGAATGCCATGAACGTCCTTGGTACTAGTTTTATAACCAATGTTTGTCACATACATAATTACACAGGTATATCTTCCTGAAATCTCTCAGCTCTATTCTACAGGTTAAAGAAATACTGTAAGAAAAACAGTAAAACTCAAAATAGTACATAGTTTTTGACCTTTGATTAAAGCACAAAACACATACAGAAAAGTGCCAAATTTACAAGGGTACAGCTCAATGAATTTTCAAAAATGAGCACACCATGTTAACAGTCACCAAACTAAGAAAAAAGAGTATTATGCTCCAGAAGTACCCTCCCTCATGCCATAATGAAACCTGCTATTCAGACTTCTAAAACCATGGATTAATTTTGCATAGCAAACCATTTTAAATTATTACAACTGTTTCTACCTGGGGAATCAAACATATTCCTCAAGTATGTCATTCTTTTAAACATTTAAGGAATGGTCCACTCTGCTGAGGTCTCTCAGAAAATGGCCTTGAACCATGTATGTATATTATACATACATTCTTATAGAAGATTATTGGAGAAATTGTTAGAAGGTGGTAAATCAACCAGCTTTGAATATAGTTTCTACTAAATACAATGTTTTAGGCCAATAGCAAAAAAAAAAGGCAGATTTGATATATTACCACCAATGGTGACTATATATGTTATGTCTACAAATAAAAATCCTAATAGAAGGTGAAAATGTTAATCACCTCTTTGCTTTGTTAACGACACAGCCTGTAACTCATACTTACGGGAGGGAAACCCAGCAGTGAGTGTTTGCTACTACTACCTTGTAAGCTTCCTTACCTGCCCAGTCCAGGAACTCAACGCACTCAGTCTGGGAATATCGAGCAGCAACATCTCGAGCTCTCTCCTCCCGGAAGTTCAGAGCTTCTATATCAACATCCAGTTCCACCAGTGCTTTCAAAGTCTCCAATCGACCCCAGGCTGCAGCACAGTGTAAGAGTGTGTAACCTAACAAATAGAATGAGGATGGTCAGGTCAAAAAGACTACATTGTTTCAGGCTCTTCTACAGAGTAGAAGATAATAATGATAATCAGGTATTGAACAATTACTACAAGCCAAGTATTATCCTCTGGCTTCCCTGGTGGCTCAAATGGTAGGGAATCTGCCTGTAATGCAGGAGACCTGCGTCCCATACCTGGATCAAGAAGACCCCTGGAGAAGGCAATAGCAAACCACTCCAGTATTCTTGACTGGAGAATCCCATGGACAGAAGAGCTTGGCAGGCTACAGTTCATGGGGTCACAAAGAGTTGGATATGACTGAGTGACTTTCACAGGTATTATCCTAAGTGCTTTACATATAGTAAGTTCATTTAGTTGGTTAAAAAAAAAACCCTATGAGGTCACAACTATTATAATCTTCATTTTACAGACAAGGAAACAAAGGTCCAGAGAAGTTAAACTTGCCCAAGGCACATAGCCAGTAAATGATGGACACAAGGAATCAACACAGGCAATCTGAGCTCTTCAACATCTTCTGAGGAAGACGGCAATCTCCCTAACAGTCATCTACTGGAACACAGTTAGATTTATGACTTTAGTCTAAGAAATTTTCATCAACCTCTAATTACTCCATTATTGTTAACACAACCATACAAATTACTACAACTGTGTATGCCTTTGATTTGGAAATTGATCATTTGAATTAAAACTGAAATTGTGAGCTATCAAATTAGAAAGCTATTTCTTAGATTTACTGAGGCAACTACCCCACAAAACTGGGAGCCAAGAAATATCCAGATATCACCTTCCCGAAGATGTATTTCTTCAGCCAAATGGCCCACAGACCCTGATTTGCTGGGAAAGGGGACACTATCTATGGAAAAGACACAACGATAGCATGAGCAGGAGGCCATTTCAAATGAGATATTCTCCGTCCTTACATTGCTTTTCTCAGGGCTTAAATTACTACTAAAAACAATGTTTTAGGCCAATAGCAAAAAAAAGGCCAGCGGTAACACCTAAAATTTTTCCTATTTTTTAATATACATAGTTTAAAAATAAGAAAACATGATTTCTTAACAGAGAGAGGCTTTTGCCAAGGAATTTGAAATCTTCATATGTGGTTTGTTTTTTTTTCCCCTTGTGGGAGATGGTGTGTTTTCTAGAAGGAAACACACAGATCTTTGTACTACATTAATTCCATAGCCTTCCCAGGAGAACATTTAAATAAGATGATTTTGAAAGCATCCAGACAAGAGGGGGGATTTTCCTAAAGTTCTCCCATGATATTGGCAATGAATAATTGAACCTAGAAGTGAGATACAGAGGGTTACAGGTTAGAAATCTCAGCAGGAAGAAAGGGACCATAAATGGAATACTGAAAAATCAGAATTGGTTCCAAGAGAAAAATAATCTCTACAAGGAAGACTACTGGTTACTAAACAGAGAGTCAACTGAGCATGCAGTTCACATTAAGGCAAAAGATCAGACAAGAGGAAAAGCAATCTTCTTCTCTATACAGGCACTGTTCTGTGCTCTCCACAAGTATCAACTCATTTAATCTTCTCTACAATCCTATGATGTAAAAAGTAGTATTGTTCTCATTTATAGATAAGAAAGAAAAAAAAAGCACAGAGAGGATAAGAACTTTTCTCAAGGTTGCTTAAATTGACGAAGGTCATTGATAAGGTCAAAATCCCAAACCTGAGATGATGATAGTCACAAACAAGTAATAGGCCGTGGAGCAAAATATTCACTTACGTAGAATATTTTTCACAACCTGCCTACTAGCAGTACCAGACTCTTTGAATTCTCCAAATCATATTGTTTCATATGATTTTGCATATGCCGGTTGTCTCTGCCTGAGAAAATTTTTTTAAGTATAAATTTTATCTTTACTTAGCATTAATACCAGTATTTGTAAAATTGAGTTCAGAATTCATTTTTTAAATTAGTGAAACTAATACCCATTTTTTTGTTCTTCAATTTTTTTAAATTTATTTTTATTCTTGGCGGCCTTGGGTCTTTGTGGCTTCGCATGAGCTTTCTCTAGTTGCAGTAAGCAGGGAGTACTCTTGCTATGTGCAGGCTTCTCATTGCAGGGGCTTCTCTTGTTGCAGAGCACAGGCTTCAGGTGCACAGGTTTCAGCAGTTGCGGCTTGTAGGCTCTAGAGTTTAGGCTCAGTAGTTTCGACCCACAGGCTTAGCTACTCCATGGCATGTGGAATCTTCCCAGACCAGGAATCGAACCATGTCCCCTGCATTGCAAGGTGAATTCTTATCCACTGAGCTACCAAGGAAGTCCAAGACTAATACATCTTAAATACAAAAATATATAAACATAAAATATCAGATAAGAGCATAACTGTCAAACAAATGTTAAGTATATATTGTCATTCTATTAGCAATATAAACTGTCAGATAAAACTAATAAAAATTAAAGATTAAAAAGCAAATACTATTAAAATGAAAAAACTATAATCATGAAAATCACAAATAAAACATTATCTTTCAAGTAGGTCAATGGTTTCAACAGGACATTTCTGTGCAAATTTTTTCAGCTATTGAAGTTTTTCTCACTCAACATTAGTTGGAAGTAGTTATAAACCAACACCGAACACTTTCCTTCAAATTATCTCATCTCCTTATTATTCCTATGTAAAACACATGGCTTCTCCTGTGTATATTTTTCAAAATTAAAGAAATGCACATTTGAAAAAAAAATTATCTCATCTCTAATTTTAAAAGACAGAGATATATCTGAACAGTTTTTTGCTTTTTTAATAGAATTGCAATCTTTCTATTGAGAGTAGGTTGTAATCTTTTTCTCCAAAGAAAACACTGATGACTCGTATTTGTCTTTTTTAGTCTCCACATATAAAGAGAGAGAGAGTCCATTTCAGTTTCCTTATCAATTTCGAAGCTGTGCGATTCACGTTCTACTTGTTTGGGAGGCTTGTGAACTCAAGAATTATTCTTACAATAGAATTTGCAATACCACAATATGGACCATCTACATTTGTAATCTTCAGTTTGTCTTTTTATATACACTGAGCAATTAAATCATTGAAATTGTTCTCAATCCAAAAATGACTCTACTTTCATATGTTTAAAATACCAAATAAAACTATTATACCTATAAAAAGGCCAGCATTTCATCACCTAAAATAGCAGATAAGTACACCAGGATAGCAAAAATATTTTAATACTAAAATCTGCTATTGCAGTTACTATCTGATACTGCAGTTACTGCCACCTGCCATGCCTTATCCTTCAACTTCATTTGTCTGATAAACTCTTGGTCATTATTCAAGATTCCATATATTGGACTTCCTTGGTGGTCCAGTGGTTAAGACTCCACACTTCCACTGCAGGGGACACGGGTTCAATCTGTGGTCAGGGAATCAAGATCCCAAGGGCTACATGGTGCAGCCAAAAAAAAACTGAACATATTGCCTCTTCTATAAAGCCTTCCTTGACCATGCCCAACACTTTCAGGTAAAGCTGACTAATCTCTCCTCTGAGCTATTACTGTACCTTGTCTCATCATATATCATCTATTTACACATCTGTTTTCTGCTAACTGTGAACCTGATCAAGGTTGCTGAATTCATTCATCTTTCTATCCCCAGTTCCCAGCTCAAGACCTGGCTATTCCTCCACCTTTAACAAATAGTACCCGATTGTAGGGAAAGGTAGAGTTTAAAACAGTATTTCATTTCAATCATGCTTGTTTGAGTGTGGCCAGGTTGAGAAACCAAAGCCTTACCAGAACCAAAGGTGGTTCCATCAATAACCTACAAACTGCACACAAATGTCCTTGGCTCAAACAGAAAACGAGGCACTTTCCAACAGACCAGAAGTCAGTAGTACAGAGAGCTCAGACGGTAAGAACTGTTTCATCCTCCTTCCTTCAGATCAAAGAGATGAGATTGTAAGAACTGTTTCATCATCCTTCCTTTGAATCAAAATTGTCCAATTCTCCAATATTTAAAAGGAAAGGAAATCTTGAATATAAATGTAATCTCTGGGAATCATCCACAAATAAATGGCATACATCTTCTTAAAGAGATATCTACCACAGTTCTTCACCCAAAAGTCCCTTAATTTTAGGCCAATGGCTTCTTATGTTGCAAAAATCAATAGTGTTCACATATATACACACAATTATTGATCCTTAAAAAAAGAAAATTCTATCATTTGTAACAACATGGATGAACCTGAAGGGCATTACGCCAAGTGAAATAAATCAGAGAGAAAAAGCCAAATACTGCATGGTATCACTTATGTGGAGAAATCTAAAATAAAAAATTAAACCCATAGAAACAGAGTAGAAAAGTGGTACCAGGGGCTTGAGGAGTGGGGGAAATAGGGAGAGATTGGAAAAAAGGTACAAACTTCAGTTAGAAGATGGAAGAGATCCCAGGACCTAATATATAACACAATGACTATAGCTAATAATTGTACTACTATATACTTGAAATTTCCTGAAAGTAGAACTCAAATGTTTTGACCAAAAAAAAAAAAAAAAAAAAAAAACTTTGCACTGATCTGTTCTCCCATGTAAACAAGCTCATGGGAACTGAATCAATACCAACCAAACAATAAATTTACTGGTAAACTGTAATATAATTCATTATTTTATAATGATTTAAGTAACAGAACTGGACATGGAACAACAGACTGGTTCCAAATAGCAAAAGGAGTACGTCAAGGCTGTATATTGTCACCCTGCTTATTTAATTTATATGCAGAGTACATCATGAGACATGCTGGGCTGGATGAAGCACAAGCTGGAATCAAGATTGCCAGGAGAAATATCAATAATCTCAGATTTGCAGATGACACCACCCTTATGGCAGAAAGTGAAAANGAAAGATTGAAGGTGGGAGAAGAAGGGGACGACAGAGGATAAGATGGTTGGATGGCATCACCAACTCAATGGGCATGAGTTCGAGTAAACTCTGGGAGTTGGTGATGGACAGGGAGGCCTGGCGTGCTGCAGTCCATGGGGTTGCAAAGAGTCAGACACGACTGAGCAGGTGAACTGAACTGAAGTAATAATCACCAAGTTGACTGGTACAATTAGGTTAGCCAGTTCATGCATACATTTCATTATAAAATCATCTTCATTGAAATGGCAAACAAGCTTACAATTTTCCAGATCATCATATATCATCTAAGTCCTGGTTCCTTTTAATTTAGCAATTCTCTCAATTTCTCTGTCTCCTCTGGCATTTTACCATAAGCAGCAAGAAAAAAGCAGGATGCACCTTCAACTTCTGCTAAATGAGAAGATTTCATGGTAAGCATGAAATCAGAATGAAGATATGGATTATCTTAGAGTACATCATCAAACTCAAAAGACTGTACACCTATCTTCACACACTGGAAAACATCTAACAAGAAGATGGTGATACCCATATCAGTTAGTCAAAGCACCCTCTCCCTGGGGTGCTGGAGGTACACTATCAGATTCGATTTAAGGCTCTCATTTTCCTTTATGTAGTATGATTTTTAGACATTACTATTAGTCCCATTTTTATGGATGAAGAAACTGTAGCATGGAAAGGTTATATAACTTGCCCAAGTTAAATAGCTTAAAATTCAATATTAGATAAATTTTGCTACAAGTTTTCCACAGCCTTAAGAAAGGCTTCTTCTGTTCCTATTTCCCCAAAAGCTTTCATCATGAATGAATGCTACATTTTCTTTCAAAAGACTTTTCTACATCTATTGAGATGACCAGGTGGTTTTGTTTACATAATCTTTTAGTGTGATGAATTATACTAACGATTTTTCTAATGTTAAAGCCATCCTTGAGGTTTCCCTGGTGGCCCAGTGGTTGAGAATCTACCTGCCAATGCAGGGGACACAGGTTTGATCCCTACTCCAGGAAGATCCCACATGCTGCGGAGCAACTAAGCCTATGCACCACAACTTCTGAGCCTGCGCTCTAGAGCCCAGGAGCCACAACTACTGAAGCCAGAACACCTAGAGCCTGTGCTCTAAAACAAGAGAACTGCTGCACGGAGAAGCCCATGCACCACAACGAGAGAAGAGCCCCCGCTCTCCACAAGCACTCGAGCAGCAACAAAGACCCAGTGCAGACAAAATTGATAAATATTTTTTTAAAAAAGCAAATCCTTGCATAAATTGGATAAACCCAAGCTAGTCCAGTAAATGTTTCAACACACATTAGATTCAATTTGCTAATATTTTAAGGTGTTGCATCTGTGTTATTAAATGATTGGCCTATAATTTTCCTTTCTAATGCTTGTCTCTCACTAGTTTTGCTATAAAAGTTATCTCATAAAATAAGCAATAGTCCAACTCTCTTTATTTTCTATGGAAACTTTGTATAAGCTAGAGATTACTTCTTCCTTATAAGTGTAGTAAACCCTATCTTTCAAAACATTTGAGTTAGGAATTTCAAAGGGTGGGAGAATCAGGCAGATTCTGATTACTTATTCAGTATTTTTAAAATAATGGTTGATCTGGACTCCAGAAGCCAAGATGGCGGAGGAATAGGACGGGGAGACCACTTTCTCCCCTACAAATTCATCGAAAGAACATTTGAACGCTGAGAAAATTTCACAAAACAACTTCTGATCGCTAGCAGAGGACATCAGGCGCCCAGAAAAGCAGCCCATTGTCTTTGAAGGGAGGTAGGACAAAATATAAAAGATAAAAAGGGAGTCAAAAGAGCTACGGACGGAGACCCGTCCCGGGAAGGGAGTCTTAATAAGGATGGGGAATACATGTAAATCCATGGCTAATTCATTTCAATGTATGACAAAAACCACTGCAATGTTGTAAAGTAATTAGCCTCCAACTAATTCAAAAAATGGAAAAAAAAAAGAATAAAATAATCGTTGATCTAATCAAGTTTCTTTTTTTTTTTTCTTGACTCAATTTTGGTAATATATATTTTATTGAAGAAACTGTCCATTTTATCCATGTTTTCAAATGTATTATCATGAAATTGTTTATGATATTTTCTAATAATTTTTTAAATCTTACTTTTTCCTGTGTGAATGCTTCATTTTAAGATTCCAAATATTATTTACACTCTCTTCTTCTTATAATATCACATATCAAAAATTATCAATATTATCAAATGTTTTTTCAACTTTTTTTCACTAAAGCAGATTTTGGTTTTGTTGATTCTCTTTATTGTGTTTGTCTGTTTGCTTGTTTGTTCTGGCTGCACTGTGCAGCTTATGGATCAGGAATCTCAGTCCACCAGGGATCAAACAAGGCACCCTGCAGTGGAAGGCAGACTCCAAACCACTGGACTAACAGGGAATTCCCTCTCTATTGTTTCTTTATTTTCAATGTCATTATTTTACTCTATTATTTATCTTCTTCTTTCTTTGGATTTTCAGTTGTTATTTTTCTAACTCCTTGAGTTAAATTTTCAATATTTTTTATTCTAATATATGCATTAAACTAGATTTTAATTTTAGTTTTATTTCACACAGTCTGACATAGCAATCCTGTTGCCACCTAAATATTTCATAATTCCTATTACATTTTCTGTCACCAACAGATAACTGAAAGTGTGTTCCTGTTTCCAAAATTATAGGGATTTTCAGTAATCTTTTTGTCACTATTTTCTAATTTTATTTTAGTGTGGTCAGAGACCACAGACTGCATGCTATAGTTTATTTGATAATTGTTGACACTTCCTTTATGGCCTAACACATGACAAGTTTTTTTAAGTGTTCCACGTAAGCATGTAGAAAATGTATATTTGCTATTTGCTAAAGACCATTGTTTCATTTTCTACAATGACCATGTCTTATAGTTCCAATCTGAAAAAAAACAGTGACTTAATTTAAAGAGCTAATTGAATAATGACTGTAAAAATGAATAAATCTTCCAAGGAAAAAGGTGATAAGATTATTGAGCATTTACTATATGCCAACTTTATATTAGCATACTTAATCCTCATAACCTATAAGGAAAACCTATAAAGAAAATACAATCATCCCCATTTAGTAAATGAAACAGAGACACAAAATGATTAAGTAACTTGCCCAAGTCACACCAGTTAATAAATATCAAATTCTGTATTCTTAATTACTATGCTATAATAACATGAATATACATACATTCATATATATATACACATAACATATGCAAAATATAAAGCAGACACGTCAAATTTATCCAAATTTAAAGACAATACATGGTATCTTTAGGTAGTTAGAAGTAATAGTGATGAGAGAAAATACCTCTGGTGGTTTTCTCATTCAGATTCACACCATATTTGGCCAAAGCTCTAATCACATCACTTTGCCCAGCCATGCAAGCTGCATACAACAAATTTCTCCCAACGATGTCTTCCTCCAAGAGTAGCTGCATGGCCTGCCCATGGTGAGAGTTCTCAGGATCCTCAAAAATCTTCTGCAAACCTTCTACATCCCCTGTGAGAGCAGGTGATAAGAGGGGGTTAATGGTGACAGTTTCCTCTGCTTCTCTGGATTCTTTTTCTTTTTCACTATCATCTTCTTCCTCTTCTTCTTGTGGTGAAGAAAATATTAATTTTTCTGAACTCTCTGACTCTGGGGGTACTTCTGACTCCATTAACTCCAAAAATACCTGAGATCAAAAAAGAGAAAAAGTAATAGAAACATACTCAAATCAGCATTTGTTTATTTGTTTGTTTGATCAGTCAACTGACAATATGAATGGAATGAAAATGCTTAGTGGTTCAAAATAATTATAAAATATTTCATTCATTCAATCAGTAAAGTTTATCATGCACCAATAGACTGCCTGAATACATACTAAAATGCTGAATGTGGAATGCAAACCGTAAATTCAATAGGAACAGGAGAAAAAACATCAATGTGGGTGAGATTCATTAGGAAAAGTTTGAAAGAATGTTAAAAAGACTCATCTGTTTAAACAAGGGTCCATGTTGGGGAAAAGTAATAAATACAGTTGGATCATCGAAGCCAGATTATTAGGACCTTAAAAATTAGGTCACTTTGCCGACAAAGGTCCATATAGTCAAAGCTATGGTTTTTCCAGGAGTCAAGTACGGATGGGAGAGTAGGACCATAAAGAAGGCTGAGTGCTGAAGAACTGATGCTATGGAACTGGAAAAGGCTCTTGAGAGTCCCTTGGACAGCAAGATCAAATCAGTTAATCCTAAAGGAAATCAATCCTGAATATTCATTAGAAAGACTGATCCTGAAGCTAAAGCTCCAACACTTTGGCCACCTGTTGCGAAAAGCCGACTCACTGGAAAAGACCCTGAAGCTGGGAAAGACTGAAGGCAGGAGGAGAAGGGGCAAAAGAGGATGAAATGGTTGAATGGCAACATCAACTCAATGCACATGAGTTTGAGCAACTCCAGGAGATAGTGAAGGACAGGGAAGCCTGGCATGCTGCAGTCCATGGGGTTGCAAAGAGTCGGATACAACTTGGCAACTGAACAACAGTGTGAAATGAGCAAAACTGTGTGGTAGTTTGAACATTCTTTGGCACTGTCTTTCTTAGGGATTGAAATGAAAAGTGACCACTTCCAGCCCTGTAGCCACTGCTGAGTTTTCCAAATTTGCTGGCATATCGAGTACAGCACTTTCACACCATCATCTTTAAGGATCTGAAATAGCTCAGCTGGAATTCCATCACCTCCACTAGCTTTGTTCATAGTAAAGCTTCCTAAGAGCCACCGGACTTCACGCTCCAGGATGTCTGGCTCTAGGTGAGTGAGCACACCATTGTAGTTCTCTGGGTCATGAAGATCTTTTTTGATCACAGATAGTTCTGTTTATGCTTGCCACCTCTTCTTAATATCTTCTGCTTCAGTTAGGCCCATACCATTTCTGTCCTTTATTGAGCCCTTCTTTGCATAAGATGTTCCCTTGGTATCTCTAATTTTCTTGAAGAGATCTCTAGTCTTTCCCATTCTATTGTTCTCTATTTCTTTGCATTGCTCACTTAAGAAGACTTTCTTATCTCTCCTTGCTATTCTCAGGAACTCTGCGTTCAGCTGGATATATCTTTCCCTTTCTCCTTTGCCTTTCACTTCTCTTCTTTCCTCAGCTATTTGTAAAGTCTCCTCAGACAACTTTTTAGATATTGAAAAAACTAATATTTTTGTTTTAGATAATAGTTTTTCCCATAAGAAATATGTAACTTAGGTTTACTACACAGTGGGTTTATGCTATTGTTAAAATAATTAATAAATCTTTTTTTAATTCCATTTTAAGTTCTAATTCTTACTAGATTTGTAACAGTTACTGTATGGATAGATATTTTCTTGGCCCAGAAAAATTCTAACATGAATCTAAACTGCAACCCCACCACATATAACCAACAGTTCATACAGAACATGACCATGGAGACAGGAGGTCTGGAACTCTGAAGGCAGAATGGCAGAACAGACTATGAGTCAGAAGACCCATGCTTTAGTCCTGGTTTATTAACTATGCAACTTTTCTGAACTCATTCTCAACAATGAATTGAGAATAGCTCTGCTGTACTAAATTAGTGTGAATTTTAACTATAAAAGTTGCATTCTTTAGAGGCTGCTAAGGCCCTCATGGGGCTTCCTGGGTGGCTCAGTGGTAAAGAATCCACCTGCCAATGCAGGAGATGTGGGTTCCATCCCTGGGTCACGAAGATCCCCTGGAGAAGGAAATGACAACCACTCCAGTATTCTTGCCTGAGAAATCCCATGGACAGAAAACCCTGGTGGGCTATAGTATATAGGGTCTCAAATAGTCCGACGGCCACTTAGGAACGAAACAACAACAATACACTCTTAATATAAAATCACATAGGTCTCTACTTCACAGCATCAGAGTCTGGTGGGAAAGACACAAGCAAATCAGCAATGACGCAATGGGATGAAGGACGTGATAAGCAAAGGGTGTTTGGAAAGGAAAGAGACTGGACCTCTCTAAATAAGACTCAGAGTAGGGAGGTCCCCGGAAAGCTTCCCAGAAGAGGTGACACTTGGTATTGAAGAACAGGAGTCTTAAAAGGAGAAGGTAATGGGATAAGCAAAAACAAAGGGCCAGGAAGGCAGACAAGGCTGTATGAAGTTGTGGTAGAGGGATAAACCTCAAGGGCCTTTTAAACCAACTGAATTTTTTCTTCAAAAAATGTAGTCCCTTGAGGATTTTAAGTGCCAGCTCAAGGAGAAGGCCTCAAAGGGCTCCTAGGGTTAAACAAAGGGAAAGCCGGAGGACGAGGATGCGGAGAGAGGCAGCCTCAGTGGAGAGCTGGGAGTGGGCCGGAGGGGACACCTGAAGCACAGGGTCGACCCTCGGGGCGCGACCCGCGACGCAGCGCTCGGTTCTGAGGGAAAGCCTGGGGACGCCGCGATGGCGCCCACTCTCCTCTAGCCAAACCGAACAAAGTGGCGGGGAGATGCCAGTTCTCCTCAACACCCACGCGGTGCGCCGACCCTCGCCCCTCAGACCGCGGGCCCAGACCCGGGACCTTCGGACTCAGACTCACCGCTCCAGAGGCCCCAGGATTGCGTGGTTACCATGGCGACGGCGCACCCAGCGCGCGGTAGCGCCACCCCAAGCGCTGCGGCTGCGGCGCGCAAACGTCAAGGTTGCAAGGTGCAGGAAGAGAGGCGAGAGACGCGGGAGATTTCCTCAAGATTATTTAATTCGCTGTGTTTGGACGGTGGAGTGCGGGGGCTTTCTGCATTTTGTAAGTTTACAGTTATATGGCCCATATTTATTTTACAACTTAAAAAATAAAATTTTAAAATGAGACTAAGACCAGCCGGTCTTCGTCTGACCTTTGGCCTTTAAACGAAAGAATTTTCTGGAAATACGAGGATGCAGTCTAAACTATGAAAGGTTGTAATTATAACGGGCAACGTGCTTAATTTTCTGGCTTACTGAGGCTCTTTCTCCTATGGTTTATGGTCATTGTCACCAACAAGAAACGTTACAAGAGACCTCAGAAGTGCCGACTATGGCAGGAGCGGAAGCAGCTTGAAAACTATTTCTCTTTTGATTCAGGAATTTAAGATAGGAAACAGTTGACTTTTAAAAAGGGGAGAAGGATGGAGGTGAGATAGGAGCATCGAAAGAAACCAGCAGAGAAGGGCAAAGCTTGCCCAGAAATTATGTAAATATTCACATTGATCATGGAGTGAAAACTGGCAAGTTTTTGTACTGAAGAGGAAAACATTCATTTCTTTACTATTTCTACAAGGAAATCATTAAGGAGGAGGTAATATTTTAGAGGAACTCTGAACATTTTAGTTGGAGGCTAAATAGCCTAGTGTTAAAGCGAATATTTGGCTTAGGCCCAAGCAGACTGTCACTATCATAGTTCTGAACTTCTGGAATACAAGAGTAATTCTGAAAAAAAAAATTGAAGTATAATACTAAAATTTCTTATTCAAATAAGTTGTGGTAATCAGAATTGTAGAGTTGACACTGTAGTCGGAAACAATATTCTAGAAGCTTTGTCAGCTCTTGGCTTGGTCCTGCGATCACTGATATAGCACATTTGCTTTACTAAACACTCATTTCCTACTGAAGTTGGTGGAAGAGCAAGACATGTTAGGTGTTTCACTTTTAATATGTTCCTTTTCGTAGTCCTTAGTTTCAGGAGAGTCTTTTAGTGTCTGGATGCAAGATGACTTATGACCCATGATTGTGCATGATTCTGTTTTTAATTACTCTTCATTGGTTGTATTTGTGTATTCCCAAATACAAGTGTTTCTTGAAAGTCTAAAACTGAATTAAATAACTAAAAACTAAATAGAGTGCTTAAAGATTATTTGTAGTACTCTGAAAGCCAGGAAGAATGGGAAGACGTTAAGTAGGTCTGAGAATACTAGAAACAGAGGAGCCTTGTTCTCTTCTTAACTCCATGTCAGAAACAGCTGCATGATTCATTGGGGCAGACTAGGTTTGAAACTGGCCTTAGGAAAGAGATTCCTGCCTCTAGCATGGATCAGGTGCTGTAGATAGACTCCTGCCATCACTTCTAACTCCCATGCCCCTCACCGAAAGCTTAGGATGAGAGTATTGAAGAGAGAGCATTGGATCTGAAGGAGACAAATTAATGTACCAGAGGCATATCAGCAACAACCTGTGAGTGCTTAAAATGGGGGTCAAGGAATACAGTGAAGGCCTGTTGTACAGAAGACTTAAGGAACAGAGAAAATAAGCACTCTTCAAGCCCCCCTGAAATTAGGTCAGCTTCAAGAAATTATGGTAGAAAGCTTTCCAAATTGATTGAATTTAAATTTTTTCTACTCTAAGAGAATGGGTCCTTGGAGTAAAATTTAAATTATTTTAATTATTATATTTCTTGAATTCCATACTTTTGTACTAAGAATTACATTCTTTAAAAATTTTTTTTTATTTAAAAAAATTTTTGGCCATACCACATGACATATGGGATTCTAGTTCCCTGACAAGGGATTGAATCCACATTGCCTACATTGGAAGCTTGGAGATTAACCACTGGACTGCCAAGGAAGTTCCAGAGCATTATTCTTTATACAATTTTATTTCTGTTAAAATAATGGGATAAGTTAACTAATTGAGAAAGTTACTCTAAGGTAACTTGATGTACTGCGTTGTTGCTTAGTTGTGTCCTACTCATTGCGACGCCATGGACTGTAGTCCGCCAGGCTCCTCTGTCCATGGGATTCTCCAGGCAGGAATACTGGAGTGGGTTGCCATGCCTTCCTCCAGGAGATCTTCCCAACCCATGGATCAAACCTGCATCTCCTGCATTGGTAGGCGGATTCTTTACCACGAAGCCACCAGGCAAGCCTCTTAATGTACTATATTAATATTTATATTTCTTTTACTGAAGTCCTATCATGTGCTGAATACTGTACTAAGTGATTAATATAAATACTATCCAATCCTCAGAGCAACTCAATGAAGGTGGTATTTTATTCTTCAAACTGACTGAGCAAACTCAGCAAAGTTGAGTCACCTACCTAAGAACACACAGCTAGGAAAGAACTGAACCAGGATTTGAACCTGGGTCAGTCTGGGTTTAAATTACCACAGGGTTGCCACCAGTTAGCTGTAGACTAATGACATGTTAGAGGATGCCTGTCCAAACTGATAAGTTAATTTTAAAATATCTTGAGCCATTATTTTGGCAGAACTTATATAATATCAGTGCCACTCCTGGTGTACGACAAAAGGACTGTTTCTACATATAGCTAATCTCCACAGCTGAAATTTGAGGGAGGAGGTGCTGAACATCCATTGCCTGTGCGTGCCCATCCTTCCTATTCTGGTAACAGCACACAGTTTTCTAGTACAGAATCCCTTTCACATACTCTCAGCCTGTGTTGTTTGGGTGGGGCTGATCCCACTCCAGATCAAGTCCTGGCAGAGCAGTGTTTTCTTCACCCCTGGCCTCGGTGATTAGATCAGGAAAAAGCATGGAACACAGATCAGTGTAATCAAAGCTAGTCCTGAATTTTTGCCAGAGCAGTAAGTAAATAGGCATTTTTTTTTCAGCAAGATTTGATGAAAGGAGGTCAGACTGAGTTGCCAGTACCGTCTTGCCACCATGTGGAGAGAGCTTGACAAAGCAACAGAAGACCCAAGAAGTGAATCCTGAGGGTGCCACTTGAGCTCTGGAGCTAGAATACCCAATGCCATTTTTCACCTTCCTTTTTCAATTGTGTAAGTCAATAAATTACTTTTTTATAATTAATCCAAAAACTATTGGATTTTTGTTACTTGTAACATCATTGCCCCATAATATGGAGGGGGCAGGAAGGGGAATATATAGGATGACTTTATTTTAGAAACATGCTATTCCTAGGAGTAAATACCTGAAATTTGGAATGGATAATATTTCAGTTATGTGTTTCACTTACAGATGAACAACTGTGCTTGATATTATAGGTTAGTTGATCAATGTTAACCTGGAGGCAGGTTTCTAGTAAAATGCCCTAATATTCTGTCACCCTCTTGATTTCATCATCTTTGAGTTAGTGACTTAAGTGTAAATATATAAGATATACTTACCAGATAACCAAAGGCTTGTAATAATGAATAATATGATAGAGGATGGCAGAGTGAAAATCCAAACTCAAAAGATAACTAGAAATTCAACAGGCAGAGGAGTGGGAAAAGGCAATCCAAAAGAAATGTAAATCTAGGGTGAAACAGATCACCAGCCCAGGTTGGATGCATGAGACAAGTGCTTGGACCTGGTGCACTGGGAAGACCCAGAGGGATCGGGTGGAGAGGGAGGTGGGAGGGGGGATCGGGATGGGGAATACATGTAAATCCATGGCTGATTCATGTCAATGTATGACAAAAACCACTACAATACTGTAAAGTAATTAGCCTCCAACTAATAAAAATAAATGAAAAAAATTTTTAAAAAAACAAAAGAAATGTAAAATTCACGGGTGCGTAAAATAAACAGCAAAGTGCATTAGTGAAACCTAAGTGGGTTGAAACAGCAAGAGGGTATGTGTTTGGGAGAGAGATAAGAGATGTAGTTAGAGACATTGGAAGAGGTCAGACAGCAATGGAGAGAATGGTTTGGAGAGGACAAGATTGCAGACAGAGAGGAGCCTAAGCTGTTCCTGGGTTTCCACCTCTCATGACCAGGTGGCTTGTGGTTTCCTAAATAGGGATTTTGAAAAAGGACAGGGACAGAACCAGGATATTGAGTTCAGTCTTAAAAAAATGAAGGTAGATATATCAGTCTGCCTGATATCAGCAAACATATTATTTGAATCCAAAGCTTAGTAGACACGACTTAGTTGTTTTTTAGTCACTAAGTCATGTCTGACTCTTTTGTGACTCCCATGGACCGTAGCCCACCAAGCTCTTCTGTCTGTAAGATTTCCCAGGCAAGAATACTGGAGTGGGTCGCCTTTTCCTTCTCCAGGGGATCTCCCCAACCCAGCAACGGAACCCGCTTCTCCTGCGTTAGCAGGCAGATTCTTTACCACTGAGCCACCAGGCAAGCCCTAGTAGACAAGTGAAAAGTCACTCAGTCATGTCCAATTCTTTGTGACCCCATGGACTGTAGCCCACCAGGCTCCTCTGTCCATTGGGATTCTCCAGGCAAGAATACTGGAGTGGGTTGCCATGCCCTCCTTTAGGGGGTCTTCCTAACCCAGGGATTGAACCCAAATCTCCCTCCCACATTGCAGGCAGATTCTCTACCATCTAAGCCAACAAGGAAGCCCCTGGTAGACAAGACTAGGATATAAATATAAATTTTGGAGTTACATATTTATAAATGTTATCAAAAACCTACAAAGATGATGAAGTCATCCAAGAAGAATGAATTAAAGAACAAAAGGCTGAGGACAGAGCCCTGGAGAACAATTATTAATACATCTAAGAA